TGTGAGCGTGCATATATCTCTGTGATACACTGATTTCCTTTCTTTTGGACACAGCCCCTGTGGGGCTGCTAGATCATATGGTAGCAGTGTTTTTAGTTCTTTGAGAAATGTCCATACTATTTTCTATAATAGCTTTACTACTTTATATCCCTATCAACAGTGTATAAGCATTCCTTTGTCTACACATCCTTGCCAGCATTTGGTATTTTTTTGTCTTTTTGATAATAGCCATTCTAACTGGAATGAGGTAACATCTCACTGGTTTTGATTTGCATGTTCATTTCCCTGATGAAATGCAAAAAATATTGAGCATCTTTTCATATACCTGCTGGCCACTTGTATGTCTTCTTTTGAGAAATGTCTATTCAGGTCTTTTACCCATTTTTAAATTAGATTATTTGTTCTTTTGTTATTGAGTTTTTTTAGTATCTTATATATTCTTATTATTGATCCCTTGTGAGATGGATAGTTTGCAAGTATTTTCTTCCATTCTTTGGGTTGTCTCTTTACTTTGTTAATTATTTTCTTTGCTGTGAAGAAGCTTTTTAGGTTGATGTAATCACATTTGTCTATTTTTGCTTTTGTTGCCTGTGCTTTTGAAATCTTACCCAAAAAATCTTTTCCCAGACTAGTAACCTGTAGCATTTCTCCAATGTTTTCTTCTAGCAGTTTCAGTTTCAGGTTTTACATTTAAGTCTTTAAACTATCTTGAGTTGATTTTTGTATATGGGTGAAAGATGACGACCTTGTTTCATTCTTCTGCATATTGATATCCAGTTTTCCTGGCATGATTTATTAGACTATCTTTCCCCCCAATGTATGTTCTTCATGCCTTTCTCAAAAATGAGTTGGCTGTAAGTATGTGGAGTTGTTTCTCAGTTCTCTATTCTGTTCCATTGGTCTAATTGTCTGTTTTTATGTCAGTCCTATGATGTTTGGGTACTACACTATAGCTTTATAGTATAATTTTAAATTAGGTACGGTGATGGCTTCAACTTCATTATTTTGCTCAGGATTGCTCTAGCTATTTGAGGTATTTTGTAATACCATATGAATTTTAGGATTTTTTCCTAATTCTGTGAAGGATTCTTTTCTATTTCTTATCAATTCTTCTGATAAGAATTGCATAGAATCTGTAGATCACTTTGAATAGTATGACTGTTTTAGCAATATTAATTTTTCCAATCCATGAGGATGGGATATGTTTTCATATTCTACATGTCCTCTTCAATTTCTTCCATTGGTGTTTTATAGTTTTTCTTGTAGATAACTTTTACTTCTTTTACTAAATTTATTCCTAGGCAATTTTTGTAGCTATTGTAAATTATATTATTTTCTTGATTTCTTTTTCAAATTGATCACTGTACTGTTAGTGTACAAAAATGCAACTGATTTTTATATGTTCATTTTTGTATCCTGCAACGTTACTAAATTCATTTATCAGTTCTAAGAGTTTTTTGGTGGAGTCTTTAGGTTTTTCTAAATATGTCATCTAGAAACAAGAATAATTGTACTTCTTCCTTTCCAATTTGGATGCCCTTTGTTTCTTTCTCTTGGCTAATTGCTCTGGGTAGCACTTCTACTTCTTTGTTGAATAAAAGTGGTGAAAGTGGGTATCCTTGTCTAGTTCCAGATCTCAGAAGAAAGGCTTTCAATTTTCCCTGTTAAGTATGAGATTAACTGTGAACTTATATGACCTTTATATTGAGGTGTGTTCCTAACAGAATCAAGGACAAAAACCATATTATCATTTCAAGATATGCTGAAAAAATATTCAGTAAAATTCAGGATAGTCTATTTTGGCCACTATTTTATCCTCCAGGTCTGGCATAAACAATTCCATCAGAGGATACGTTCTATCCTCTGATGAGTTACGGCTACTGACTTGTTAAAATTAAACCTTATGAAGTACAAGAGCAAACAACATAAAGGGAAAACCTCATCTACCCCTAGAGTATGTTGTTGTTCATATCAAGAAGGATTGCTCCAGTGAATGGCTGGGAAAGTCTGAGACACTCCATTTTAAAACCAACACTAATGTCCAATTTTATTGTTTCTCTAGGAAAACTCCCAGCTGCAACTTTGACCTGAGGTTGGCCCCAGAATAACTGTGTAGACCTTAAACTTTCCTGATAGCCCCTCTGACTTCTTCTGAGCAGCCTAAATATTTCCCAAGTTTTTCAGCCTAGCATCTCCCTATTCCTTGGCCCCATACCATTCTGCTGGAGTTATGCAATGGGAAGTCTGAAGTTGGGTTGGGAAAGAGGTAAGCAATAACAAGAAAGTGGTATCCCAGATGCCAAGAAAAGAAAGTGTTTTAAGAAGAGTGTACTGCAAATATAACAATGAATAGACATTTTATTGAAAGAGACAAAAATACATCACCCAAATTAAATAAATAACAAGGTCAAATGGTAATGAGATCTATGAAGAAAATAAAACAGGGATGGGGAAAGAGGACAACTAGACAGGAGGATGATGATATTTTCAATCATACAGTCAGGGAATCCCTCTCTGAAGAGGTGATATTGAGCAGAGACCCTGAGCCCTAGAAAGAAGTGGAAAATAAGCTTCCAGGCTGAGTGGGGAGCTGTGGGAAGGTGCTAAGGCAGGAAGAAGCCCAGATGGTTTGAAGAATGTCAAAAAGGCAAGTATGACTCAAGTGGAGGGAGTCACAGAGAAAGTAGTAGGAGAGTTTTGCAACACCAGATAATGTAGAATAATGGCTTTTATTCCAAATCCAATGGGAACCAATGAGAAATTGATAGGAATGGTATAGAGGAAGCATGAAGCTCACTTAAGAGGCTGTGGTGGGAGTCCAGACATGGCATGACAGGCAATTGCTCCAGAAAGGTGGGAGCAGTGACAATGGTGGGAACTGATCAGATTCAAGACACATTGGGAAGACAGATCCAATAACTCCTGCTAAAGGATTCCCCCATGAAGGCAGAGGAAGAGAGAAATCTAGCATACCTCCTAGTTTGAGAACCTGAACAAAATATAATGCTGCTCAATCAGTTGGCGAACCTTGGGGGAGGATATGTTTTGGATGGGAATATAAAGAGTTATGTTTTGGACATGTTAACATTTGACATGCCTATTAAGCATCCAAGTGGAAATTGAAAATCATCAGTTATATAGACAAGTCTGAATCTCAGGAGGGAAGACATAGCAGAATAATATAAACTTAAGCATACTGGAGCATACCGAAGGTGTTTAAAACTATTACACAGAATAAGGACAGCTAAGAATGCTGTATAAATGAGGAAAAAAAAGAGCTGAGTCCTGAAACCCATGGAGTGCCAACATTGAGTGGTCAGGGTGGGGGCAGAGAAGCGAGTCGAAGGGAAGAAGCGGTCAGTGAGATAACAAATCCCACAAGCGTGGCAGTGGCATCTCAGATTCTGAAAGAAGAAAGTGTTCAAGAAGGAAAGAGTGATCCACAATGCCAAATGTTACTCAGAGCACAGCAAGGAGGCGACAGAGAACTGACCTTTTGGCCTGGCACGTGGGAGACAAGTGGGTCCATGAACAAGGGCAGTTTCCTTGGAATAGTGTGGGTGAAAGTCTGACTGGAATGGGTTCAAAATACACAAATCATGCTAGAAACTTTACTAAAGAAGAGCAAAGATATGGGCTAGAGGTGGGTGTAGGGTCACGGTAGGGCTTGCTTTTATTTAAGACAAGAGATTTTATGCATGAAGCCTGATGGGAATAATTTAGTTAGAAAGATAAAATAATGATGCAAGAGAGAGAAGATTATAGTTGTGCAAGAAGAGGTGGGACCAGTGTGCTCCTTAGAGGAGCATAGAGCTCATCATCTTAAAAGGAGAAAAGTTGATGTACAAATATATGTAAATGTTGATCAGTTTGCTGATGCAAAGATGGGGCATTCTCTTCTGGATGCTTCTGTTTTTTCAGTGACATAATAGCAAGGTCACCAGCTGATAGTGAAGGATGGGAAGGTGGGGTTGAAAGTTTGATGACAGAGGAGGTGACACAAATTTGCCTTCTCAGAGATGAGGAAAACAAATATACCAGGGAAATAGCACAAGCTCATTGAGATCATGTTCCCTAATTCCTTTCATTACTCATGGCCAATCCTGGACACAGGCTGCTCACTTCTCCCAAAACATGATTGTTTTAGAAAATTCTATAGAATAATTATTCAGAACTGAGATATGCTTTGTGTAAATGGAAATAAACTTCAATGTACTCATTTATACCATGTACATAGATAGAAAATTTGCTTCTTCCTAGCTGATGAGCAGACACATTCATGATATGGATAATGAATGTGAACTCCTATGAGAGGAGAATCATACTCTATATGTCCAAGGCAGAGGTAGGATGAGCCAAATACTTTTTCTGCAGGAGGAGTATCCTCTTTCTGAATACAATTGACTAGAGATGTGAAGTGGACAAAAAAGTAATCTCCCTTATGTTAACACCAGTGTGTTAAATTTTTATTTTTCATAATTTTCATCTTACACTTATCAGAGAAGTTTCACTAATGAGGCATGTCATGACTCGATTTCCAGCGGTTGACATTAATAAGAGGAAGATGCATTTGAAACAATTTAGGCAACAATTTGAAACAATTTAGGCTCCATAAAGAGCAGCTTAAACCCCAGGACTATGTTTGGTCGGCCCTCCAGGGCCACCAATGAATTATAAAGCAGCAGTTGTTATATTAAATTTAGTTAGAATAAAAGTACGTTTTTTATGCATAGAGCCATTCAGCTAAGTAAGTCTAAATAATAGGGGATAATATGGTTAATATCTTTTACATTCTCTTATTTGTGCTTAGGTTTGGCAGATTTGAAATAAACCAGTATCCATTATTTCAGTGAAGATATGTGAGGACGTAGTCTTTAGAGGAAATGTGTCTGATTTGAATAATAAGCAGACATGATCTTCTTCTGTGAGGAAACAAACTGAGTTCAGGAGCAGCCATGAAGATGGTGGTTAAAGCCAAAGGCACATAAATGCATTCCGAGTTGTTCGTAAATATGTTGTTTACTTGTCCAATACCTCCGTAACTTAGCAGTATTCTACGAGAAAACGGCCAAAATTCCTAGGAGCAATTTTACATATTCACAGAGCCGGAAACTAACAAATCTTATAATCCCCTTGGCAAACCCTTCATATTTTCCCTTTGGAAATATGATAAACTTGTTTATTCTATTTGTCAGTTTTTCCATTTCTGAGTTTCTTCATTGAATTTGTTATCTTTTTTTGTGTGTAACCAAGCTGTCCCAAGCATTGTATGGCCACAACTGCAAAGAGAAATTAGGGATGTGAGTAATAATAATAAATAATAATTTGTACAGCTCAAGGTTTTGTTAATTATAAATAAGATGGAGGAGTCATTTTAGCTCTAAACCATACTACATATTACTAAAAATATGTCTTCTGAATTGCCTTTAGAAATAAAGTGCATTTTCTCTGTTTCTGTGGAACAAGATAGAGTTTTTCCTCTGCATTGAATGCCACGTGCTGGTGCTGAGAGGATTGGCACAGCATGTCACCAAAGCTGGACACCCCTGAGACCCCGTTCTCTTGGCCTCTTAGGTCCATCAGAGAGAAAATGACTGTGTAAGCACTCAGCCAGGGCAGGTGACAGGAGGACAGACTTCCTTTCTTACCCTTATAACTGGAGAAAACACGTGTCAGCTAGCCATGGTGTGGTGACTCAGTCATTGCAGGGTTTTTCTTCAGTAGGTAATGGAGATATCACTAGAAAGACCAAAACAGCTGTGTTTCAATGGCAGTCATAGGAATGAGACTCCTAAGCTCTCCTGTTCTCTCACTGGGACAGCAGTAAGTAGGATATACCCACTGGACTATGTAAAATCTCAGGAATGATCTTGGAGTTACCATTGGAAGAAGACCCCTAGAAAAAAGGTAGGACATTCTCTTATAAGTAGACCAAATGTTCACAGTCATTTAATTTAAATACTATATACTCTAAGGTAAAATAAGAGATATCAGTTATATTTGCTACCCTAAAAACACAGGGAAAATAAATTCCTTTATTATAGGAATTCAGTAAGTATTTGGTAAATAGATTCTGCCTGAATTTTGTAATACATCAAAAAAGAAGTAGCCTGACCTCCTGGTATTGAATCATGGTATTAAATAGGTTTGCATCTTTCCTTTTAAGGAAAAACATAATTCTTTGCACATCATGACCACTCAACCTTTCTGAATTGAATTAAATAATTCTGAGGTTTTAAAGAAATTGTTGAAATATGCTGCATGATCCCTGATTAATCATCTCTTCAGTTATAAAACAATCAGTTATCTGGTTTGTCGAGGGTATTGTTGAATAAATCTGTAGTCCCTGGAGAAATACTTTTTTGGTGTTAAAATGAAGCTGTACACTTAGAGCCATACACAATTCTGAGTTCAAAATACTTAAGGGACTCATTAAAGTGTATACATTTTCTCAACTACAAAAATTAGAAAATTTTTGGATTAAACTAATAAATTGTTTCCAAAAGATAATAATTAATGTGTGCTCAGCATTTTAGGAAATGCTTTCACATACATGATCTCATTTGTTATTCACTACAACCTCATGAGTTGGGAATTTCCCTATTTGATAAATAAGTTAACAAAGGCTCCAAGAAGATAATTAACTTAGACATTAGTAAGAGGCTAACATGTGATTCCTTTGTATTTCGATGCCATGTCTTTCTCACACATAGGCTGACATAACATAGTACTGTAAATGTGTGGCAAAATAAAAAGTAGCCTTCCCAGAATTCCAGGGTTTATCCATTGGTCTAGCCTACCTTGCTTTTAAGTTACACATGAGTACTTTCTCTACATGACATTTCATGGGTGATCTTCCCTTGCAGTGGATCTGGATTTTCAAAGTCAACATCTAATAGGATTAGTTCCCCTGCCATATTTCTCTGGACTCCCTCCCACATGACTGCACCTTGTGGACTTACTCCACTGGTCATAGCTCATTTGCCTAGAGGTAAATAGCTCCTCTAAGTTGAGCCCATCAGATTCCTTCTGATAGAAGTTTGGAATCAGAACAATGAAAGAAATAATAAGTTTCTCCTTTACTTGACCTAACTCATGATATCCTGAACCATGCAGTGCCCAAGTTCCTCCTTCTGGACCAGAGGAAGAAAGAAGCACATACATGAAAAAGAAGAAAAAAAAATAAATTCTTGGCCTTGAATTTCATGAACTACCCTTATCCTCTTAATAAATACACATTTTCTGCTTAAACCAGAGCCACTGGGGATTTTATTATTTGCAACTAAAAACTCAAATAATATGCCTAATAATCTACAAGACCCATCTAAATCACTTTATCCCCAACCCTTGAGCAGAACTTCCAAAATTCATTTAGATATAGATAACTATAAAACTACATGGGTAACTAGGAAAGATTAAGTTACTATAAATATTGAGAATTTTTAAATTGAAAATATTATAGATGAATTTTTTAGTAAAGAATTTAACCTTGCCCAAAGAGAGGTCTGGCCTTGCCCTTGGCTACTTGAAGTGAATCTCTAAGCCCTTGGAATGTCATGCCCAATAGAAGTGTCTTTGTTTGCCTGGGGGAATTGAGTCACATTGTATGGTCTAACAATGTGGGTTAGAGTAGGGGGCTGGCCACAGTGGATAGTCTTAGGCCACTGATTGAGTTGATAGTAACAGTGTAATTTAGGGTGGGGACTTTGGGTCCTGTAGTATCAGCTGACCTCTGGAGAGACTATAGGCAATCAATCATGCCTGCATGATGGAGGCCTAGTTAGAACTCTGAACACCACCATCAGGTGAGTTTCCCTGATTGGCTGTTCCGCACGCATATTGCCACACATTGATGCTGAATTCCCTGGAGCAGACAACTGGAAGCTCTGTGTTTTGTATACTCTTGGACTCTCCCTAATGTGTTTCTTCCTTTGGCTGATTTGAATATGTAACTTTTCCCTGTACTGAACCATATCTGTGAGTATAACGGCTTTTAGTGAGTTCTATGAGCCCTTCTAGCCAATCATCAAAACCGAAGGTGGTTTGGGGAATCCACTGGATTTGCAATTGGTGTCAGAAATGAGGGTGGCCTCTGGCACTGTTTCCTGTAACATCACAGTTGACTTAACTTGCACAATGGGTGGTCCTATTTTGTTTTCATTTTATTAGATAGGGCAAGCTCTCTTCTATCAGCTCTGTTTAAGACTATAAATAGTCCTCAATTCTCTTGGAGGCCCAAAAATCCAAGAACAGTTTGAATTTAATACATGCTTCTATAATTGACTTGGTAACTGTGTTTGCTTTACATGTTACATCCCTCTCTGGCCTCTTGACTGTGATGTTCATGAAGAGACAAACTACGTCTTCTTACTATTATAGCTACAGTTCCTAGCATAATATAGATTCATAGGTGGCACTTAAATGTCAAGTGGCCTATGCATGGATGGATGGATGGATGGATGGATGGATGGATGGATGGATGGATGGATAGATGGAAGGAAGAAAGGATGGATAAGTGGGTATACAGATAGATGGTTGGTTTGATTAAAATCACAATTTTGCAGAGTTACAGTTGGATGTCCAAAGGCCTAGTGAAATTGCTATGAGTGAGCATTAAAATGAGAGCCCTTCTCTTTTCCTCCAATCTTCCCTATGTTTGGACAGCCGGGTTTATAGAAGGGCTTACCAGGGAGTGTTAGGGAAAGCCTGTCCTATAGGTCCATGTTTTCCCAGGCTCAGAACCAACCTGAATAGTGTGAGGAAAGTGAGAGTTCAAAGCAAAACTACTTAATGGACACCAGCCCCAGGCATGCCCATAAAGAGATAACGCAGTCTTGGACTTTCAGGCAAGTGCCTAAGTCAGCGTTGAGAAATATCTGTGCTGGTTTTTTTAAAGGCCTGATATTTAACTGTTTTCATTATTACTTCTAGGAGCTGCCATTAGTTGTGCCTACAACTTGCTCAATATTTTATATGTTCTTTCTTACTCCTCATGTCAACCCAATGGAGTCAATATTATCAGCACCATTTTTGTGACAAATAAACTGAAGCTCAGAGAGACTACGCTGTATGTACAAGGTCAACAGCTGCAAGTGATATAGCTAGGATGTGGAAATAACTCTACAATCCATGTTATTTCCACTGCACCATATCATTGGGCTTCCTTTCTTCCTTTTCATGTACAGTTAGCACATTTGGTGCATGTAAGGGATTGTGCTAGAAATTATGAGCAATCATAAAATGAGTAAGTTCTTGCCCCAGGGAGCATATGCTCCAACATGGGAGAGAGGGAGGGTGCACAGACGATGATCCAAAGCAGGCTGTGAAAATGCCTGATCAGCAAGAGAAAATATCACGGAGTCTGTAAAGGATCCCTGGTTAATGTGGTCAGGGAAGTTTCCTGACAGGAATGGTGTCTAAATTCATGCTTAAGGAAAGGGTAAGGACTTCATGGAAAGAAATTAGGGCTATTTTATGCAGACTAAGCAGGATGAGGAGATTCTGTCTGGAACAAAGCATTAAAGCCCAGTTTGCATGAAGTACACAAGCGTACATTGTGAGCCAGCTCTCTTTCTCTCTATAGCTATGTTCTCTTAGGAAGTCTTTTCACTTCCCTGAGCCCAGGTTTTCTTGTATTGTTGTGGCAAGTATACAGCTAGTGCTACAGCTCTTGAACAAGGAAAGAACCGAGCGGCACATGAAGAGTCGGAGAACAGCATTTATTCAGCCAGCAGGCTCAGCACAGCAAGTGTTACAGCTCTCTTCTCGTTTTCTGATCTTCTCACCGCCCCCCTTCCTTGTTCTCCTGCTTTTATACCTTTGGTAGGGCTCAAAAAGTGCCCAATGAACTACAAGCTTTAACATCCAATCAGCAACAAGCATTAATATCCAATCAGCAACAGTGGGATTCAAAAATTACCCAATCAGGATCACGCGGTGAAAGCAGGCGGCAGCACGCAGGCCCAGCGGCATTCCTTCACGCAGCCCCAGCGGCAGTGTGCCCTCCAACTGGCCACACACAGCACCCGCCCGCGGGGATGCGGAGCAACAGGGATTGGCAAGTGGCCGCGTCCTGGTGCCCAACGTTTTTCGAGTCAGTATCCAAAGTCACAAAAATAACTCCTAGCTCAGACAGTTGTTGCATGGGTTAAATGAGAAAACAACAAAGTGGTACAGACTCAATAAGCACATGCTGGTTTTTGTTGGTGGTATAGTCATAAGCATTCCCAACTAGGGGCAGGCCTCTGCCCCCTGCCCAAAATTTGTGGACATGTCTATTGTTATGATATCCAAGGGTTCTCTGGCATTCAGTGATGGGCTAAGTGTGGCTAAATGATCTATAATTCTTGGGGCATTATGGTTAAGCAAATGATGTTCTCTTCCAAAAGGCCAATATCATTTGCGTTGAAAAACATAGGTAAGAAAAATAGAAGAAATGGTTGGAGAAGTGAGATGAGGCTTAGATTCCAGTAAGCTTTGAATACAAGGCTACAGAGTTCACTTTGAGCCGCTGAACCTAAGCAGGAAGTAGCAACATCAGTGCTTTCAGAAGATTACTAAACAGGGGTTGGCAAGATACACTCAAAGTGAGGGAGGCTGGTGGGAACGTTATACATTGGAGAGTGCTCACCATTGCCCAGGCGTGAAGTACTAGAGGCTTGACGAGTGTGTCAGCCACAGGCTTTCTCTGGTCCTCAAGTGGCTTGTAATAAATTAGAAAGGAAGCACTTCCTCGCCATCTTCATGCAAATTACCAAAATTTCCCCTTCTTCCAGGCAGACACAACACTGTGCCAGGGTGTATGACTTGATTTTTAGCTCCTTTGCCCCTGGAGTTAGATACCTTTTTTAGTGGTTTTGATGGTACAAGAGGGATGGAAAGGAAGGGTCAAATTCCAGACGGATTACAGAGGAAGAGGTGCAGAAATGAGGAGGAGTGGAACTGATTCGTCTGTCTAGAGCCTGGGTAGCTGCTGCAACGTGATATCATTATTAGGAAGAGGTCAGTCAGAAAAATGTTTTGGAGGTGAGATTTTAAGTTCTATTTTAAACATTTTGAGATTGAGGTGTCTCTGGACACCAAAAGAGAAATGTCTTGCAGGTCATTGATTCCAGCAGAGCAAGAAGATTGGGACTGTGGAGGCGTATACAGTAGCTAACTGCTGTGACAAATTAACACAAAAATGTCTAGTGACTCAAACGCAATAGAAGTTATTTCTGTTATTGGTGTTCATGAAACAGTCCAAGGCCAGTCTTCCTGAGCAGGAAAAGGCTCGCTTCCAAATGATAAATCAGGGATCTAGGAACTTTCCATCTTTTGGCTTTACCTTTTTCCTGGGATCTTTCATTACCATCTGCATTCACCCAGGAAAAGAGCCATGTCTTTAAAATTTTTGGGCCAGAAATCACACACATATCACTTCTGCTCACATTTCATTAAAGAGTCCCATGGTGACACGTGACTGCACGGAGGCTAGGAAATGTACCCTACCATGTGTCCAAGAAAAAAAAAAGTCTTGGATTTTTGGCAAACCACTAGCCGTGTCTGCCACAGGGTAGACATAGCTGTCCTCTCTTTGAAGTAAAAAGTCTCTGAGGACAGAGAATATGTTGGTCTTCTCCACTTCATCTTCATCACCTTCCATGGTGTCTAGCACCTAACAAGCATGCAACCTTTGTCAAATAAAGGTTTGGCTGAAGCTTTGGGTGTGAAAAAGGTGATCTCAAAAAGAAAAACTATATAAAAGAAAGATGTGAAAGAAAAGGGTATTGCAACAATAAAAATTATTACTTGTTATTGTTATTATTGCTATTGCTATCTACCATTTGCAAAGTACTTGTTACCTAATCTCCACAAGAACCTTGTAAGGTTGTAAACACTTTTTTTCTTCTTTCCTTTTATTCTTGCACTTGTAGCTGAGGAATACGGTTGTAGATTTTATTAATCACATTTTACTGTGCCTCTAAAATTTATACCACCAAGAAAGTCCAAAGCTAGCATTTAGCCCCAGATCTCCTGACTCCTCATTCCAAAGCCTGTCTAGAACACCAACTTCCATTTAGTAGGAGAAAGAGAAAGAAAAGCTTGGTATTGTGTTGCAGCTTAGAAAGAGAGAGAGATCTTTCCAGAACATATCTAACTGCCACAAAGGTAAGTCAGGTGGCTTGGCAGTTTTAGCTTTCTTCGGTTACTTTGGGGAATAAGTAGAGCTGCCTGGGAATCAGCAGCCACCCCATATATAATCAGCACTGAGTGTCAAACTTTGTTGCTTCATTCAACAAGCCTTCCCAAGAGAGCTCCCAGCTGTTGCTGCCGGCCTGAGCGTGGCCACGATCTTGCCATAACTTTGGCTTTCCTGTCTCTGATTGAAACTTTTACCACATGATGGCCTATTACTTGTCTACCTTTTTCAGCAGCCACCTCTGCTGGTGTCACATAAATGCCACCTACCCCTCAGCACTGGGGAAGATGCATGCCTCATCAACTTAGGCTTTGGCCTATGCATCTAAGGTTCACCCGGTAAGAACTCTCTACTTCTCTCTCTCTCTCTCTCCCTGTCTCTCTCTCTCTCCCCTCCCACCACTACTATTATCAATTCTTCCCCACCATTTTAATATTGCCCTGTCTGGCCTTCCTTGATCTATACTTATCTCCCTCTCTAATTTATCCTCCACAATACAGCAAGAGTGATTTCTTTTAAATGTCCATATAGTCTTGTCACCTCTTTTCTTAAAATACTTCAAAAACCTACTTTGGCTTATCATAAAAAAAAAATAAAAAAAAAAAAATTTGAGACAAGGTCTCGCTTTATCACCCAGGCTGGAATGCAGTGGCAGGATCATAACTCAGACTCCCAAGTAGCTCAGACTACAAGCATGTGCCACTACACCCGGCTAATTTTTAAATTTTTTTTTTTTTAGAGACAAGAGTCTTGCTATGTTGCCCACGCTGGTCTTGAACTCCTGGCCTCAAGCGATCCTCCTGCCTCGGCCTCCTAAAGTTCTAGGAAAAAGTCAAAATGGTTAAAAGGCTTTATATCCAGCAAGATCCAGACCTGGCTAAACTCGAGGGATATGTCCTCCCTCCCCTCCTGTGCCCCGGACACACCTGTCTTGCTTCAGGTGCTCACACGTGCTGTGCTTCGTCTCATCCGGGACCGGCGCACATGCTGTCCTGGCTCGCTCTGTTCCTGGTGGATTCCCAGTCATCGCTCACATCGCAGAACTTCTTCAGCTTCAGTCAGGTCTCTCACGGCGTCCTATGTTTTCCCCTCATCGTATGGATCCCAATCTGTGATTATATAGTTATCTGTGATTATCGGATTAATGTCTGCATCCTCCATGGTTGTATTCCCAGAACTAGCACAGCGTCACCTGGTACCCAACAAGTATTTGGTGAACAAACAAATGAATGAATTTAGAATCTCAGAAAATAGAATGTGCTTCCTTAAGCGAACATCCGCACCGTGTGGAATCCTTGGGAAAGGGCTTTCCATTTTGAATGACTTCATAATATTACTTCTTGGCTACTCGATAAGTAATTTTATTTCAAATAAAAAAAATATTCTGTGGTTGAAAAAATCAATAAATTAGTATGAATCACAAGAGGAACAACAAATATTTAACCCTCTTGATATTGGCGAGGTTCTTTTCTGAGTATATAAATTTAAGCTACTTTCTATTTGTTAGAGAAAAGATCATTTAATGTGCTTTCCTGCTCATCTAGATTTACAATATTTAAAAATCTTTGCTCTTCAAGTTTCATTTTTCCTTTAAGGATTTTCAATCCAAAAGTTTAGTAAATGAAGTATATATACAGTTCATGAACGTATTTTAAGACCTTTGGGAAGCACTCAAAAGTTATTTTGAGGATTAGGAAATAGCTTGTCTGAATATTGCCAAGTGAATTTGGAATAACCTTTTTGTGGGACGCAATGAAAAAGAAAGACCAGAACATCAACATTCTCAGTTCAAGGTTACAAGGGAATGTGAACAAAAAGTGTTTCTCATCCTGTTAACACTTGAACACACAGAACATAAAAACAGTGTCTTCTTTCATTTAAAAACATTTTTAACACACACAAGGAAACCTTGACCTTTTTGCCTTTTGCTTCTCTTGGAGGTTTTCACGTGGATTTTGACCTTTTTTTCTCCTTCCCAACATTTTACTGTGTATTTAATGAGCCTTGGATACCTGTGCACCCCATTATATCCACATTAAATGAGTTGGCAATGAGAAAGAAAGAAAGGACCTGCAGACGCTGCTTGTATAATAGGTAACATCGTTGCAATGTCAGGACTTTCCTCTCAGCTGCAAATGGAAAGAGAAAGGAAAATGCTTCCTTTAACATATGAAATACAAATACTCTTTTGAAAAATAGAGTGGATGGGGGCTGGCAGACTCAGATCAAACAGTTGGTCAGGGAAACAACAAATTCTAAGGCAAGGATGACTCCAGCTCTTAAGAATTAGGAGTCTTATTCCAAAGGGTCTATATTTTAAATCAAATGTTTTGCTTCATCATTAAAAACTCACAGCCCCAAGTACTATTTTGTTTATATGAAATCTGCTAACTAATGTAAAAGTGTTATGAGGATTTAAAATAAGTAGGATTTAAAATAAAATAAAAGTGCACTTAAGAAGTGATTGCATATATGATGGATATAACTTATTACACAATCTGAACCCTTGACCCAAAGAGAATTCAGGTTAAACCAAACAAAGCATGTCCTGCGCCCCTACTGGACAAGTGCGGCACTGCACACTCAGTCTGAAGGACCTTGTCCATGTCTACCCACAAGTGGGAAATAAAGATTTGCCTGGGCTGGGGCCCTAAAATCAAGGTGATGCGGAAAATGCCAGGCGCCAGGAGGCGGTTGCTTGCTGCCTCCCCATTGCTCTGCATCTCCAGGCCAGCACTGTGTGTGGCCAGTTGGAGGGCACGCTGCTGGGGCCGCCCCGGGCAGACAGCCGCCAGGGAACCCCGGGTGGTGCCGGGACCCCAGGCCCAAGTGCTGCTGCCTGTCTCCGGCCACGCTGCTTGCATGATCCTGATTGGGTAATTTTTGAATCCCACTGTTTTTGATTGGATGTTAAAGCTTGTTGGTGATTGGATGTTAAAGCTTGATGTTGATTGGATGTTAAAGCTTATAGTTGATTGGACGCTTTTTGAGCCCTACCAAGGGTATAAAAGCAGGAGCAGAAGGGGTGGAAGCAGGAGAAGATCAGAAGATGCCAAGAGTGCTGTAATACTAGGTGTGCCGAGCCTGCTGTCGAAGAATAAAGGCTGTTCTCTGACTCTTCGTGTGCTGCTCAGTTCTTTCCCTGGTCAAACAAATAAGAGCTGTAACAAGAGCTGTAACGCTAGCTGTACACATTGCCACAAGGGTACTTCCTAGAACCACACTTACAGCATGGTACAGTGGAACAGGATGGTTGCAGAGCGAAAAACTGAGCGTGAAGAAGTCGTCCAAAAATTGTTGCTACATACTGGGTAAAAAGGAATTATCCTATGAAAGCAAAGACTCCCAGCCTGTGGAAGTCTTGGAGCTGACCAGTCTGTCCACTTCTCCTTTGCCTAAGGCTTAACTTCAGAACACTTGGACAAACTTCCTCCTGTCAGACTACATCTCAGGTTTTAGAAAAGAATCTTAGCAAATAATCCAACTCATTCATTATGACCTAGACCCAGACATGGGGAAAATACATTTATTCAATATCATACTAGATATTATTAAATTTATTCAGTATGCTACTGGATAAAATAAATGGATTAATTTAGCATACTATTAAATGTACAAATCAATACATTTATTCCAGGCACTATTAATTTGTACCTTGAAAAATAATATACTAAAGCAGGAGGCTGAAAGAAAGCTAAGTAATTTTGTCTTGAGAAAAATCTAATGAAATTCTACCTAGAATTTACAAAGCATGAATTTACAAAGAATATAGCAAAAGAAGCAAGCTATGACAGAACAAAGATAATTAAAAACCACTTAAATTCTGAAATTGGTGGAAAAGCTACAGCAACTTGTCTCAAAAATGGGATCCCTTCCCTAAATTCAGCCTCTTCAGAAGTAGGAGCCTAATCTCCTTCATCTGATGAGAAAACTATATAGTCCAGGCTCCTGAGATCACATAGATAGATACTTGAGCAGCAAAATCAGGACTAGAACTCAGATCATTTTAAGACACCAGAAATCCAGATCTTTATTTAAGATACATTCTCTGCCCTGTGCGTTTGCCCCCAAATCTCATTTCTCTAACATGCTTCCCTCCTTTGAAAGTGGTCATCATATCAGCTCCTTTTCATACTTGTGTAGTACCTAGAATACATGTTTTGACTTTAAGTATTTCTTATTATTTTGATGGTTGAAAAATTAATTTTTAATCATTAAATAATTAAAAACTGTACTGGTTAGGCTAAATGGCCGTAACAAATATGCCAGAACATTTTAATGAGTTGAAAGCAATAGAGATTAATTTCTCACATACATAGCAGCAGAGGGCTGGTACTCACACTGGTGGGCCTCTCTCCCCAGTCCACTGTGTGGGTCTGCTGTCCTCTAAGGCTGCATCCTCATCTGTATCCAGTTGGCAGAAGCTGCAGCATAGTGTAGAAAACCCCACCCTTGCATTTATGAAAAGCCTCAGCCAGCCCAGATGTGACACAAGTCACCTTCACTCAAAGCCAGGAAGAATGGAAAGTGAAGTGTGGGCATTTGCCTGGCTGGAGTCACACTGAAGCAGAGGAGGGCAGGGACCTAGGCAGGTGGCTCACACCCACAGTTACTCTCTCAAGCCCAGTACAGAAGGTTGAGTCTTGATCAATGGGGAAAAATGTCAAATCTATAGAAAAATGCTGAGGTTTTTTTCCTTTTATTTGTTTAATTCATTCATTATTTATTAAGAGCCTACACTGAACACAATAGTAATAAATCCCTGACTTCAAAGAACTTATATTAACTAACAAAGAATGTAAGACTGTGTACAATTGAATGTAGGTTGCACAAGTAAGAATTTTTTTTAAAAATCAAAGGCATACTTGAAATTAAACTGAAATTAACTTTCAGTATCACCCAAGCACAATGTTTCTACTTATTTTTTCAAGTTAGTCAATAATACAGACTCCGTGAGCATATGCTTTGCACAAGGCACCATGTTCAGCAACGCTCTGGATACAAGCAAGATAATGTTTGCATCCTGACCTCAAAGAGTTTCTTCTGTGGTTGGGGAACTAATCATTCAAGGCAGCATATGATTTCTTTTCCAATTTTAAAATCTGCAATGCTGCTGCTAAGCTGGCTACGGTCATGTCCTTGTTTTACATATTCCTGATCTCTTTTTGGTTTTTGTTTTGTTTTGTGTTTGGATGGTTTTTAGTTATAAAGAGTTTTCCTGTCCCCAACAAACGACTTTTGCACATCACATATATCAGGTATATACGATTGGGTCTTTGTCTCTTCTATCACCACGTCTTGCTGTAGACAAAGCAAGAAATGCCACAGTCTTGGTCTAATTACAGCTTAGCCCAATGAGTACATGCTGAGCAGTGTCTGCCCAAATCAACAGGCCACCCACCAAGAGAGTGAAAAAGAATACACTGGTTCCTCCCACAGAGAACTGGAAGAGCTTTCGATGGAAACAGGAGATAATTGTGTGTTTTGCCGTTGGCAAGCGCAAATAGTGCCTAGCACACACGTATGCCACAGTGTTTAATAAATATTACTGAGAGTTTGATAATAAAAAGAAAAAGAGTGGCCGGACAGAAAAACACTGGCATATTATCTCCCCTCCCACACCCCCCCCCCTATATTTCTGAAGTAGAAATTCTAGGAAGAGCCTAGTGGGGGAAAAAAATATATAGTTGCATATGAATATATGACTTGACTTTTCAAATTAAGATTCAAAATACATTTAAATATTTTCAAACACGGTCATAGAAAAAAAAATTTAAAAATACGTTTAAAGAAAAAGATGAGACTCTACACTGGTTTCAAAATATGAAAAACATAATACCTCTTTTCTACCACCTTCTAGCTCTCTAGACAGTTTTTCACTTAGCAAAATTCCTAATTAGTTTTTAACTATTAGTTTAAATTTTGCCAGTTGGAAGCAAGTAAAAATTTGCGGATGTGCTATAGATAAGTTATTCTCAAATAGGAGTGGATAGGAGAATATCAGAATCTCTGCAGAGATAATGGAGCTAGGGATGTGCACTTTGGAAAAACTCCCCAAACTGATTCTACGACTCCCCCACCCCCAGCCCCTCATTTAGACCTAGTGTTTGAGCTGCTGCTTCATAACATGAGATCAGACTGCTGTCATAGATGTGGAAGACCAAGACAGATGGCTAGAAACCTTGTGAATGAAAACAATGGTCCTCACAACCTTTTTCTTCCTTGGAAGTTATGGAGAAACGAGGCATCAGAAGAGTAGTCAATAAAGAAAAATTTCTTAGGAAGATATATAGGTGAGATGAAAATGAATGATTCTTACTTTATTAGGAATTGAATTTTGTTGCAATTAAGAGATACCTGGAAGACCAGGCGTGGTGGCGCATACCTGTAATCATGGCACTTTGGGAGGCCCAGGCGGGAGGATTAATTGAGATCAGGAGTTCAAGACCAGCCTGAGTAACAGCCAGACACTGTCTCTACTAAAAATAGAAAAATATTAGCCGGGTGTCAGGGTGCATGCCTGTAGTCCCAGCTACTCGGGAGGCTGAGGCAGGAGGACTGCTTGAGCCCAAGAGTTCGAGGTTGCTGTGAGCTAGGCTGACACCACGGCAGGCTAGCCTGCCCAGGCAACAGAGGAAGAGTTTGTCTCAAAAAGAGAGAGAGAGAGAGATGCCTGGAAAATAATGATTTACACAAACAAGATTTTATTCTGTCAAGAAAACAGAAAGTAAGCAGTCCAGGCTCACAGAGTGGCTACATACCCTCTTCAGCGACCCAGGCACCTTCCAGTTCTTCTTTGCCAATGCTAGAGCTGGCAGTGGCCTTCATCTTATCATCTTATGTGGCTGCTAGAGCTCTAGACATCACACATGAGTTCTAGGACATTATAAAGAGGGACAAAGAAAGAGCATGCACATTCCCTTTAAAGAAAACTTCTAGGAAGAACCTACAATTTCCCAACCTACAATTTCCCAACCCAGTCACATGACTCACCTGGCTGCAATTGAGCTTGAAAAGTGTAATATTTAAGCTGTAAAGTGGTAAGACAAAATCAAGCATCTGTGTTAAAGAAGGGGAGACGGGTAAGTGGGAGATAAATAATATTTTCTGCCACAGGGACCTACAGTAACCTCAAAATCGGTGCATAAAATCAAATTTATATGACATAAACTATAAATTATAAATATATATGGATTTGCATTAATTGAAAATCATTTGATAAAAACTAATCCAAAATTTGGGATTGTATGAGATTTATATGAATTAAATGTCAATTTAAAAGATTGACATAAAATCAGTTAGGTTAGGATTGTTAACCATATTTTCTGCTTAGCACAAGGCTTATTTTTAATCTCACACTTTATTTGTGATCATTTTTTCAGATAAATTCAATGATTATGACAAGCTTTTTCTAAGCATTCCAAATTGACTTGCAGCCCTGATGTTTCAAAGTTAACTTATATTTCTATGATTTGTCAAGTATAAAACAGGACTTTCTCCAATGTTTGAGATAAACAACACATTCACATTTTTTGATAATTAAGTATCTCTCTGATTTCCACAGCACAATAACAACATTAGTGACTACAACAATATTAACCAATATCTTAAGAATATCAATAATTCAATAGACAATGGTGAGGTGGTGATTTCCAAGGTAATAATTTATAAAGAGAGTATTAGTCCAAATATTGAACAAATAACCAATTTTTAATCATCTAATATATTCAGGGATTTTAAGCAATGACTAGGTCATCTTTGATATGAACACATCCTAATTATTGAAGTAATGCCCAACAAACTCCTTCCTTTTTCAATATGACTTTGTAAATTTTCATTTTATATAAATCTAATGTAAGCCAAGGTGATTCCTCATTATGCTTCAATCATTAATCTAACTAAATTGTGAGATCTGCTATGATAATTTGAAAGCCACTATATGTGAGTTTAATTGAGGAGTTTCAATAAGAAGAAATGCTTAAGAAAAGAATTTGAGTTAACTAGAGCAACTTCAGAGTCAAAAACTTCCAAGCTCCTGTCCTACAGCCCTCTCATTTCCATAGGTACACCCTAGACCTGGCCATTGCCGATTATTGCAGCCTTTCTAGAATCTCAATTTAAAGCAGCCCATTCTCTGGTTAACAGCTTCTGGTTTTGCAGTTTATTCCTTCTACTACTGACATCCCCAATCCAATCACAGTACCACCTTTCCACTGCTTCTCGGTGTCCTCAGGTCCTCACATCTCTCTTTACCCAGCTAAAAAACAATCCATGTCTGGACATTGTAATTACTCCTCTGAATATACTCTCAAACACTCCATCCACCTTTGCCTTGTTGGATTTGCTAGGAAAATCTCTAACCATGCCTAAATGCATCTTTCCATCACTCCACCCCTATCTCATATCCAGTTGAACATGGATGGTGAAAAATACACAACTATGTCAAATCTCCAGCACCTCTTTCCCCATCCTCACTCTCAGTGGATGACCTCAGTTTTAATGGGGAAAAAAAACAAAACAACAACAACAAAAAAGCAATCAGAAGTTCCACAAGTTCTCACCCTACCCTTGTGTACCTGCATCTATATCCGCATATTAATGCTATTTCCCCGTATGCTTTTCCTGTAAATGAACTGCATGTGGTCCTGTCAAAGACCAACATCTCCATTTGGGTACCACATCCTATCTCTGCTGGCCTATTAAACAACATCTCTCCAGCAGTTCTCCCCTCTCTGTTCTGCCTCATCAGTTGTTTTCCTCCATCTTTGATCATTCCATTAGCAAACTTTCATTTCGCCCATATTACCCATCCACCAAAAAACAAAACAAAAAAATCCCACAACTTTTCAACCCCATTTCCCTGCTCAGCTATCACTTCTCTGCTCTCCATTACAGGAACACTCCTTGAAAGAGTTATCTACACTTTTCTCACTCTTATCCTACCATTCTCTCTTGAAACCGTTTCTTCTAGGCTTTCCTACAGACCACTCCACCTAACCTGCTCTTGTCAAGGTCATCAGGACTTCAGCACTGCTACATCCCAAGGTCAGTTCTCAGTCCTGACCTCACTTGATTTATCAGTAGCACATGACACAGATGCTCATCCCTGAGATACTTTGTTCCCTCAGCTTCCAGGACAGCACACTCTCCTAGTCTCCCTCCTGACTCACTGCCTGCTCCTTCCCAGTCTCATCTGTTACTTGCTGGAATACTCCAGAGCTCAGTTCCTAGGCTTGGGATACATCTACTCACTCCCTTAGTAGTTTTGTTCAATCTCAGAGTGATGACTCCCAAGTGTATATCTTTACCCTAGATCTTTTCTTCCAACTCCAGCCCTTTATATCCACCTAGCTACTTGACAGCTGCACTTGGATGTCTAATAGACTCTCAAGTCTCATGTTTCTAAGCTGAACTCCCGGACTCTCCATACACATCCAAGCCTGCTCTTCTAGCAGACATCTCCATCTCGGGTAATGCCAACCACACCTGTATTAGTTAGGCTAAGCTGGGTTCTGCTGCAGTAATAAACAACCTGAACATCCTACCAACTTCCCATAACAAAGTTTCTTTCCCCCTACATATCCTCTGCATGTCACCCACATCAGTTTTACTCCAGGAACAAGGCCGACAGAGCATCCTGTATCTGTAATATCTCTAGCTTTGTGGCAGAAGGAAAAAGGACACACAAACCAAGTGCTGCCTCTTAAAGCTTCTGACCACATTTTATTGCTTAAGCAAGTCGCGTGGCCTCCCATTTTCAATAGGGCAGAGGTGTATTGTCCTCTCACAGGAAGGGACTCTACGTGGAGGGAAACTAAAATATTTAAAACCATCTACCATGCTGGGCTCTGCTCTCTATCTTAAATCCGGTCCATCAATAGATCTGACCACTTCTCCATGTGAGCACCCTGGCCCAGACCCCATCTGCAGATTCCTATCTGGTCTCCCTGTTTCTCCCCTGGCCCTGCTAGACGATTCTGTTGGTAGTGTCCAAAAATGACCATTTTAAAACACAAGTCAGATCCTGTCAAGCTTCTCTTGAAAACTCTGGAATGGTTCCCCATCTCACTCAGAGTGAAAGCCAACATCTTTCCAACAGCCTTGTAACCTCTGACACCACCCTCTCACCTCTCACCTCCCTGACTCTCTTGCCTCTTTCTCATCTCTAACTCACTCTCTTCCAGCCACGTGGACTGCTCTGCTCCCTTCAAATGAACCAAGCACATTTCAGCCTCAAGACCTTTGCACTTGTAGTTTCCTCTTCCCGGAATGCACTTTTCCCAGAGACGAGCATGGCTCACTCTCTCATCTTCTTCATGTGTTTGCTAGAACGTTACCTTTTCAATGAATGTTTCCCTGCCAACCAACTTAATATTTCACCCCTGCCCCTGACCTTGACAATCCCTCTTCTCTTCCTTGCTTCCATAGCGTTTGTAGCTATGTAATTTTCTGGTACATTTTTGTTTATTGTCTTTTTCATTCTACTAGAATATGCACTCCTTGACTGCACGGCCTTTTGTCCATTTTTTTTCCTTATTGTAGCTTTAACATATAGGACCATGTCTGGATCAATCAACATTCAATAAACACATTGATTTAATGAATAAATTAATGAATGACAAACTGTGGAAAGTGTTGAGGAACTCAAACATAGAAAGATATAATTAAGATATGCAGAAAAATATAGTAAGCATTAGTAAATGTTGTGCATTCACAGAGACCCAAGAAGCTTGCTAGGTTATTCTCAAACTAGAGAAAATAAAAAGAAATAAAAGTGGAAAAATAGCACTAAAAGTGTTATTTCTAAAACTACAATATTAATGATCAAGGCAAAACTCAAAAGTTACCTATTTATTACAGAGTGCTTAATTTAAATCCAAATTTAAAAGTGTACATAGTTTAATTCTTTATCTCTGCCAAAGCAAAAAAAAAAAAAAAAAATGTAGTAGGCCATTTTATAAATAGCTGTACCACTCTTGGTAGAAAATCAAAATTCACTTCACTTCTGACTCCAGAGTAAAAGGAGAGCCTTTTGGCCAGATTACTTACCTGCATTCTAGGTTGGTATTACCCTAGAGCAGGGTTTCTGAATCTTAGCACTACTCACATTTGGGCTGAGAAGTCCCTGTTGTAGGAAGCTGCTTGTTGCCTTACACAAAGCTGAGCGGCATCCCTGGTCTCTATCCACTAGATGACAGTAGCACTCCCCACTTGTGACAACCAAAAATGTTTACAGACATTGCCAAATATCTCTGGGGTGGAGGAGGGCAAGAGACGTCATCCTCCATTGAGAGCCACTGCCCCAGAGTGTGACAGGGCCTATAAAGCCTGCACTCCTGTATGGCTTCAAGCCGTGACCCAGAAAATGCACTGTGGGATTATTATGGAAACACAGTACCAAACCAAGCAAGCACATCCGAAGTGTATGATTTAGGGAAATAATGAAAAGGCTCCCCTTGAGAAAAAGCATCCCTAATTTCTTTTCCTTAGAATTCTTTTGGTCTGGCAGTATAGAAAGAATGTTACCTGGAAAGTAGAACTTATTATTAATATCAAGGAATATTGTCCATTAAGGCTTTAATGATAGAGTTCAAGACTAAGAAGAAAGACAAAAAAAAAAAGCTTTAACAGGGAGAATGAAAGAAAACTTCAGAACATGGGAAGGAGGCTTTTCAGTGGGGAACCTTATTTATTTAAGGAACTACATGAGGTCTCTGGCCATGGTGAGAAGGGGAGGATGAACCTTTGAGGGAAAATTCCACTTGTCAACAATTTGTTTAGGATTGGTTCCACCTAGTAGCCTCAACTGAGGGGAAAAAACCCAAAATGATCAATTAAAAATAACAATACAGTTTTCAATCAATACTAAATAAGTAAATAATACTAAACATTATTATAGTCTGTACTAACATTTCAAGTTTAAAAGAATTGAAAATGAAATTATTCAAAACCAGCAAACACTCAGACATAAGAGCATTAGTCACATCTAAAATACTTTAGAAATCTACTTTTAGATGAACTCTTCAAATACTAAAACTTTTTTTAAAAAATCTCCTTAAGCCTTTTATGACTAAAAAATGTTTTATTTTCTTTCTTCTGGCAATTGTTAAATTCTCAGATTTAATATTTAAAAGAAGTAGTAAGACAACTGATCGTGCCAGAGAGGAACCCTTCCTATGTGAGCAGAAAAGCAGGCAATGCTGGCTCAATTCTTCTTTTGGAAACCACAAAGAAGAGCTTTTAGACAAATATCTAAAGCATTTGGTGATTTTAAATAAATAGACTTTATAAAGTATATTATCAAATTTTATACTCTATATTTCTTTCTCTCCAGTAAAGACATTCTAGCGTTGAAATATGTATGGTTCCTATAATTTAAATCCGTTTTTCAAATATACATAGTAATTGGAAGAGCCCTACATAAGTAAATCTAAATGTACATATTTTAGACATTTTATTGCACTTTATAGAGTAATTCAAATCCCCTGAACACTGTCTAACTTTGTACTAGAGCTACATTCAAGAAGCAAACTTGATTAATTTGAGTTTCACTTTTCTATTCTCATCCTGAAAAAATACACAAATAAATAATAACAGGACAAAAAGTAAGAACTTAAAAAAAAATTTTTTAATTCATTGATCCCTTAGGTCCACAAATTGGATAAATGGTCTCTAAAATTAAACACTAGTAACAATTGTCTGTACTTCAAAACACTCTTAGACTAACATCTAAATATAAATTGACAAACCAAAAGAATATTTGACTTCATCTGTTTCAAAAACTCTTGAAATATGTTTTTGTTTAATATATATCACCTTTATATGTTTACATTTTATACTATAAGAAAAAATAGCTTCTCCATCAGTAGTGTGAATTAAGGCTTTGAGTTTAAGAACAAAATAATGAACACAGCTCAAGTTCTCAAGTTTCCAATAATAGAGGATCTCCATTTGTCTAACAAAGCTGATTTTTAAGGAAACTGTATTAAGAAATAGAGCAAAAAAAAATGCAGGAGTTTCCTGCCAAATGGCTTACCATGTGCATATTCTTGAGTGATTTTAAAAGTCTCAGTTTTTATTTAGTTGTATTTCCAACTGTTTAGTTAATCTTTATTGACTTGTGCATAACTCTCACGAATAGGAATGTATCTGTGACTTGAGAGAAGTTTCCTGGTGTGCTAAACTGGACTGTTTACTTTTTGTCTGCTAATTCTCATGCCTGGTTAGGGATCTGGAAGTTTCTAAGGCCCAAAACAGTCACCTGGAACACTGTACCCAGGGGAATGAGTTACAGTGCACTATTTGAATCAAGGAAAGAGCCTTATTTGCTTTATTTAGTTGGCACTAGTGAACTCTATTGCTTGTCACTCATGTTAAAAACCAAGAGACCTGAAGAAGGTACACAACATTCCATGGCAGATGGAAAAACCAATCAAGGAAGCCTTGAGATGCATACACAGTGCAAATACAAGCCAAGAGGACGCTGTAAATAGCTGAATACCAAAGAGTGCAGAACAAAGGTAGTTTGGATTGCATGGTGACAAAATATTCAAACTCAAAATATCTCAATCTGCATTAGCAATAGACACATCCTTGCCGAACAAAAGCAAAGCAAAAAACAAAAATAAACTTGTGCTGTGTCCTCTATCCCAGCTAATGACAAAAATGACAAAAAGCCAAGCCACATCATCTCCAATTTCTAGCTCCCTAAACCTTCACAGACATTAGTCACCATGTCTTGTTGATCATACCTCAAAATGTTTATCAAATAAACCCACTCCTGTCCATTTTCATTGCAATTGCCTTGTGTTAGGCTTTATCCTTTTTCCAACCACACATCATGACAGTCTCTACCACATAACCTCTACTCTTGCTTCAACAGACTATATACGTGTACCAGAGACACCAAGTGCTCTCTGGCTGCTCTTTGAGTTGGGGCTGTGCTACCTCTATCCACCCTTCACGACCACCATGGCCCACACTTCCAGAGGAATTAACCCTTCTCTTCCTTAGCATCCTCCTAGTCCTATATTTGTACTGCTAACATAGCATCACCACAAGCATTATAATTCAATGAAAATAATTTGTGTCTCTCCTAGTAGACAATGTTTTTTAATGAGGGCAGGACTTGTCTAATTCAACTTTCTATATCCAGCCCCTTTAACAGTGTCCAATATCTGATTTTTTAAATCAATAATTATTTTATTTTAAATAATATGTTGACCGCAGAACAAATGATTAAAGAATAAAGCACTCAAAATTAGCAATTTGGGGTAAACTTATTCATTGATAACTTATATAGGATTTAGTTTGGTTTCAATGTTTTCCACAATCATTATCCATGCTTTTGCAATCCCCTCATAAGCTAAGTATCAATATACATTAAAAGAAATTCAAGGAAGGAAGTGACTTAGAATGAAATCTCCATTCTTAGTGGGGGTGCTTGGTAAATCACCACCTCCCCCATCATGAACAGTGTGTAGTTCTTGGAGATCACAGACCTTAACAACATCTCAACATATAAATAGGTGTTGTGCAAAAAAACAACTTCACTCAACATTTGAACAGTTGTCACAAAGGAAAAACTGGTAATATGAAAAATTAATTGAATTCACTTCCTAAATGTTAATACTGCTCTTATTTCATATTGACTTATATTTCCCTAAACAGAGGAGTTTTTCATATGCCACATACATTTACATCTTTCATCAAGAACAAGAAACATCAATTGGCTAGACCTAGAATTATAATATATTTTCTTTTCTTCAATGTGATAGAAAAAATTGGAGTACCACCCTGTGTGTTCTTTCCTCAGTGCTCTATAAATTAGGTTAAGAAACTAGTTTTCCACCCCCTTGGACTTACAAGCTGCCAACATAGGGCTCCGAATAAACACAAACACTGAAGAATTTATAGTGTCAGTAAATAATAGTAATATTTAACATTTATTACTGTTCTAAACATGTTATGTACCGGTATATTTACTCAATTAAAAACTACAAAAGTTCTTTTAATTAAGAATTATGTTTGGTCTCATTTTACAGATGAGGCAAATTGAGGAACACAAAGGCTGAATAATCCGGGCACTGTGTTACACAGTTAGTAAGTGGCAGACCCGGATTTAAACACAGCTGTGAGGCTCAGAGTCCATGCACTTAATTGCTATCTAAGCTTTGTGGGGTAAGGGGAGGGGAGTGCCAGGGAAAAAGGAAAAGGACAGAGATGCTACCAAGCAGCTCAGCCAAATTATATCATCCAGTAACAATATGTTTCACTTTTCAATGTTTTTATTCTTCTCTATGTTTAAACCCTCCAGTGTAGTAATATGTATATGAGAATAAACATCTGTGTGTAAATATACACACATATCTATGTTTTACTCTGAATTATGTAGGATCTTTTTTCTAGGAAGGAGAAATATACAAATATACAAAATATGTTTTGAAGAGGAAAAGAGTTTTTTAAAACTTCTTTGGAAATATTCTAGAAATCTTAGAAATGACTAGTTTAGATATCATGAGGTTAAAGAAAAATAACCACAATTTTTAAAACTATCCTGGGAACAAAAGAGGTGGGACTTCAATACATTTAAATGTTCAGCTTCAGGAGAAATTGAGCTTTGATTCGTGCTCTGAAGCCTTTTCCATTAGCAGAGAAGCCCGAGCACCCCCTTGCCTTTTCTTGCGCCCTCAAGTGAGAACTGAGTTATGACTGGCTGTCTCGGGAAGAGAATAGCTATTCCAGGACTTAAGATGGGCTGGGGTGGGGGAGGGCTGAGGGACGGCCTGCCATTTAGCTTGTAAAGTGCAGCAGCTGTGGCCTGTTTTCACTAATATCTGACATGTTTCTTTGGCCACTCGCCAAATTGAGCTGTACCCAACACTTCTCCCATCCTTCCTGTGCCTCCAGGATCCTTTGTAACTGCTACTTGAGACTCCAGTCCCCTCCAAATCAATCCCCTCGGTTCCTTCCTCCCCTTAACATGCAGGCATCCCGGCCTAATTAATTAACCCGACACC